TCATGAAAATAGTATCAATTTAATGTTTATATTGTAAACATCACACCAGATTTGGCACCGATTTTCACTTAAGTATTGTTAATTATCCTTATCCTAATATTAATAACTAATAATCAGTCAAGGTTTATACAACGTGTTACAAAACAACCAATAAAGCTGAAAGGGTGTGGAAAGGTCCGTTGCAAAGAGTCAATTAACAAAAAATTAGAGCCGTAGTATCGTTTTTGAAAACTATGAAAAAAATTTTTTTTTATTAAATTACACTTATTTTTAATCGTGGCATCGCAGCACTAATTTTGACAGCTCAAAGTTCAAATGAAGTTACCGACGCGGCGAAGCGCAGTTCGGTCTACATTGCTGGCTATTACATGAATGTCATCAATACAAGACGTCAACCAGCAATGTATGCCGAAGCGGACTTTGTTCGCCAGGTAGTGTAGCACCGGACCTAGACTAGTGATGTGATTATTTTATCGACTGATGATAATAAAAAATATTCTTTTTTTTGGTTAGTTGTGTAACAGGTTGTATAGTTCAGTCGCATAACAGTCTCGATTCCAGGTTACAAATTGTATTTTAAATATTTCTAACGGCGTTTTGCAATAACGTCCTGCAGGTCCATAGGTCTCAGGCTCAGCACATTTGTAATGAAACCATCCTTTACTTCAGCTTTGGAAGTCCTTTAAACTTGATTTTTGATTTCCCAGCAGTAGCAGTACTAGCATAAATGCAAGGATTGATTCCTTTTCTTCAAAACTTCGTCATCTAAAAAAAAGAGTAAATAAATATGAGTAGTAGTAGACGAAGTAGGAACGTGGACTAAGAAGGGCAGTTGACGGACGAAGTAGGAACGTGTACTACGTAGGGCGGTTGACGAAGTAGGAACGTGGACTACGAAGGGCACTTGACGAAGTAGGAACGTGTACCAAGTAGGGCGGTTGACAAAGTAGGAAAGTGGACTAAGTAGGGCGGTTGACGAAGTAGGAACGTGGACTAAGTAGGGCGGTTGACGAAGTAGGAACGTGGACTTAGTAGGGCGGTTGACGAAGTAGGAACGTGGACTAAGTAGGGCAGTTGACGGAGTAGGAATGTGGACTAAGTAGGGCGGTTGACGAAGTAGGAACGTGGACTAAGTAGGGCGGTTGACGAAGTAGGAACGTGGACTAAGTAGGGCAGTTGACGGAGTAGGAACGTGGACTAAGTAGGGCGGTTGACGAAGTAGGAACGTGGACTAAGTAGGGCGGTTGACGATGTAGGAACGTGGACTAAGTAGGGCAGTTGACGGAGTAGGAACGTGGACTAAGTAGGGCGGTTGACGAAGTAGGAACGTGGACTAAGTAGGGCTCCATAATTTTTTTTAACGGTTTTATCTACCATAATCAGTAATCAAAGGAATAAAAATTGCCAGGCCCGTTTAAGGGATAATAGTGTAAGTAGTGTAGATCAATTTACCAAAGAACGTGGCGAGGCTTCATCATCTGTACTGGCTGTTTCTGTTTCTGCCAAGACCGTTATCATGATCTTGATGGGCAGGCACAATGATCACGTCTGTATTTTCAGTGATGCTGACACATTTTGATGTTGAGGGAGTCTCATCTATGCTGGTGGTGATTGTATCACTTGTAGGTTTAATTGGTGTCAAGAATTCACTTAAACTTTTCACTTTCTTGTGTGAAGGGTTCAGCATTTCCACAAATTCAATCTGCAATATAAATTTAGTTAATTAGACTGATATGATTTAATTAATACGACCACCAATATTCAAACAACTAAAGAACTTCAAACATTTTGTAAGACTGGCAAGTCATTAGGTCAATGCTAATTTGGTCATTGTGAACTTACTGGGCTGCTTGTATCTACTTCTTGTTCATCACTTTTTGTTATTTTCTGCCAATTTTCTAGATTTCTTAAAAGTCTAGTCCTGTCTTCTTCTGGTGCTATCAATTCCTTCACTAGGTAACTGTCTAGCATCGACAACGTAGACGTTATGTTGTTTGCTGAAACACAAATTATATGATTAATAATTTATTACATTATGTAGGTACGCAAATAGAAGGTAACTTTACTTCATTATCCATCACACCAAATAACCAGCCTCATTGAAAGACCGAAAAATTACATGGCTCACTCGAGGCCACGCTTGCTCGTGCTCGGGAGAAAGCGCGCGGGCCGAGCCAAAATCAACGCGCCTCAAAAATTTGTCTATTAATTTATTAGGCGTCCAAATTGGGCCGAGCGTATGCCGCGCGAGGCAGCGAGCAGGCGAGCAGCCTCGGGCAGTGTGGACGCGCCTAATTCCGTGCTCTATATTTGCATGTTTAATTCTTTGTAATGTGTTATTATGTATATCCAAGGCCTACCCTACCTACCCTAGTGGGGGCTATGAGTGTGATCATGTAAGCGGATTCCCCTCTAACTCAGAACAGACTCAACAGACAGACTGCATCAGCTGCAAAGCTCTGATGTCTGTCAACCCAAAGCTACGAAATATTGACAATAAGATTTAGGTACTATGGATTTACCTACCTTCAAATGTGCTGATATATTGCGTTAGGCCCCATTCTCCCAGTAAACGGGGAATATCTTTGTCGACTCCAGTCTCCATGGGGTCTCCTTCATCCATCGTAGCGACAGGACACTCAGATCACAGAACACTTCCTGTCTTTGCAAGAAAACAAGACACAAGACACTTGTAAATATTAAAAACGACAATTTCGAAAAACGCGGGCGCAAAATGAGGAACCGTAACGTAACAAATAACAAAACAATATGGCGCGCGCTGCCGCCAGCAGCGCCATCGCGCGGGAGGGGAGCGAACGCACTGTGCGTCTTGTTGCTACAAGTTTTTCAATAATAAAGAGAACAATATATTTATTTAAGTTAACTTCCGCAGTTTGTTTCAAAAACAAAATATGTTTAGTTGTTCTAGGAAACTATCAGGATGGTAAAGGTGGTATATAAATGGTTATGTAAACTGTTGCAGAGTACCTATTGTTTACTAGACCATTCTTGTAGTAACAACACCTGGTTTAGGTTTTTAGATCAGACTAAACGAACAGTTGTCAGCACAACAAAGAATTAGTTCTTGCTAACCTAATATTAGTTACGAATTAAGAACATTTTGTTAATGGTACTGACATCTTCTTAGTTTTTATTTACATCGCGCATCATTATAGGAACACGACAATTATGTAAATTGTACATCCTCGAAAAGTAGTCTGTGCAAATGACTTCGTTAATGAAGCAAGTCATTTGGTTTGTAACACATGAATAATTGTACTATTATTTTATAATATTTTTATAGTCTGGTTCATTAATCGAACACTACACTGAATTATACATTTAGTAGGTATAAAAATAATAACATACAGATTACAAAGGAAACGTGTTTGAGACTAAACTTATTGTTAAAATAATTTACAACATGGTTTTGTAGTTCTGGCTGTCACCAATTTCTCTCCGTGTACGTATACATGTCTGGGCGTCAAATCTGCAACAGTATTGCTAAACTATTAAAGCAGTTCTGGCTTCGGTCACAGAATACATCTTCGGTTACGTGTTTGCCCGTCTGGTCAACATCAGTTGGGTGGCGTAGAGGCTTGGGCGGACGACGCCGGTGTCGGTGTTCATGCTATGCTAGCCAATATTGGCATTATCTCAAATAGTTTATTTTTTTCTAAACGATGTGCGCCAATAGACGCTAAGTGTGAACCAGCCTTTACAGATTAGAGATTCGTACACGCAACGAGTGTCAATGTCGCGGCCCGCGGCCGGTTATGCAATAAAATATAACGATAAATTCTGTAAATAGCTACATATCTCATGTTAGGTAGGCGTACCTACTGCTAATTTATGCAGGGTGTATTATATTATTATTTTTGGGTGTCGTAAGATACGACTCAGGGATTTAGAGTTGATGTGTATTGCAATTTTAGGTGACAGGCTGACAAACTGTCACTATAGTGATACAAAGTCTTCTGAATGACTCAAACTTTTGTCAGACGCGGTGTAAATAACCGTTTTTACAGCTGTTTACGCTCTCCCTACCCTGCAAGGTGTATAGGAGTGATATATATATGTATGTATGTATTTTTTGCCCACGACTTTTTTCAAAATTTATTACGGCATCCTTTATTGATGCTAAACCTACCCTGAAGATATAGCACGCATTTAAATTAACATCCTGTAGCATCGTCGTAAGATAGGTAATATGCACTTTTTTAACCAAGGATATACTACGCAACTACGGTTTTCTTTAGTCATGTCTTCGATAGTTAAATAAAACTACTTTATTTGAAATGTTTAATGTTTGACATCTGAATTTTTGTTTGATGTTAACAAGAGTGTAACTCTTAAATTCAAATAGTTATATTCTCGCGCACTAGATAGGTCTCTTCTTTGGTCTCTTTTTTACTGTGGCTTAGTAATACTAGGTATTAATATTCTGTGACCGTGCCTTCTAGCCTTTTTATGTCCTTTCTATGTTATATATAAATAGGTAGCTTTGTTCTTTACTCCAGCACTTGTCATTTCTTTTGCTTATGGAGGCATTCCTACCTATACATAGCTAGTTCTTATCCTATAATCGATAACGGATCAACATGCGCCCTTACAAGCTAATTGCGATCGACAAAGGCGATAATTAATCGATTACTTGGTTGTAATCGTTCATTTACAGGTCGTTTAATTTATGCACCTTATACAGGGTGTAGGTACCTATTTAAGAACAGCATAAGGTCCTACTCAAATCACAGTGGTATCCGCTGCATACGTTGGCCTCATTGGTCTGGTATTGAATTGAATAGTCAGCAAACCACAACCGATGCACTATGCAGTCAGTACAGTACCCACGTAAATAAAGATTAAAGAAAGATAAACTGATTCGGAGGGATCGGATATAATCGGTAGGTACCAACACTAATCTATTGGGATTTTAATGCACTCACAGTGCTATATTATTCTCATACATGAAATTAAGAAATTGAATAAGTATCATGGAATGCATCGACCTGGGCTTGAACCCGGGTCGTTGGGGTCAATGCCTAACCGCTCTGCCACTGAGCTATCCATGCACCGATCGATGAATGCAAAATTTTCAATCTCTTAATGCTCGTCTTTAAGCGACGATCTAGCGACATCTGTAGAAAGCATTTATTACTTTAATACCTGGTTTTATAATCTAATTTCAGAGATATTCTCCCATGGAAACACACCTTGTATTTATACATGGTGTTCAATGTATGCATGGTGTTAGCATAATGGCGGCGAATAAAGTTGTTTTTCTCGAGGCAATTTGTTTTGTACACGTTGCGTGCGCCCGCGCCGGTCTCAAAACAACGCGTTAATTGGTCCGCTCTATTTCTACCGCTTGATTAACGACATGCATTTCGACATCGGATACTGTTACTTATGGCTAATATGTTATTAAGAAATACGAAATACGAAGTTAGTAGGTACTAGCAGATCCGAGAACAAACAAATAGGTATTAAAATCCTCCAAATACTGTCAGCAGATTGACTGCCTGACAGTACAGAAATTCCAGCTGATTGACTGCCTGGCGCATTGATCGTTAAAATACTCTAACTTATTTAGATAATAGGTATTATAGATTGTAGAATATGATTGAGGTTTAAATACCTTTATTTTGGTACATAGTTTATTGTCTTTATTGATTACTGTATCTCCTATCAAATCAGCGTTATTTATTACAATTTTCTGTAAACCATAAACTAAGAGTTGGTAGGCGTGAATGCCATGCCCTTCTACTTTATTGCTATGGTGTCAAGCCTCACTTATGGCATACTACTCGTCGGAATGTTCCGCACAAAAAGGTCTATTTACATGTCCGTTCCTACAAATAGGAACTCAGGCAGTTATAATAATTTGGGTTAGGTTCAGTCCAGCACATTCCATATTCTACTACATCTGAATTTCTTAGGTCTGCTGTAAGAAATTTCTTTTTAGTGATAAGCAGTAACTGTTGTGTCTTTTTTCTGTGTACAATAAAATTGTTACATAAATAAATAAAACACAGGCTTTGTTAGAAAGGCAGTCTGGATCATGCCGCGGGTATTAGATTAACATTCGTGATACGTAGAATGCCTAACTGTATGTGAGCTTGATAGAACGAGCAAAATATAGAGAAGTGTGTTTCAGTTTGAGCAGCAAAACGTCATGTGACGAAAACTCCTTACATATGGCTCGACCCTACTAATGGCACGCGTTGAGGTCTCAAACAAATCAATATCTTTGCTACGATCTTATTTAAACTAAATTCAATGTCCATTCCAAAGGTTACCGTAATGCCGCTCGGTCCAATTATCCATTGCTAAACGGCTCTAAAATTGAGATCGATAACGGCAAATTAGTTACAATTTATTGCTCTATTCTAAACTAAGTAGGCCAGTAAGTAATTCTGTATATAATATGGCTAGTTTATCAATAGCCACTACAGTCCATAAGGGGATATTTGCCAAACTCACCACGCTTGGCAAGCGAGTTGGTAGGCTAGTTGTATTTTCATAGGAAAATTAGTTTGTACATGCCTGCACCGTTTCTCGATGTAGGAACACTAAAATATATTTTTTGACTCTAGTCGACTACATATTGCCATTGTTGGTTACTTTTAAGGTAAAAAAGTCTTCGTTTTCATTATCAAATCAATATACTTACCTATGTCATTCTTCTTAAACCAAGTGTAATTTTCAGTACCTACTTAGGTACATATTCGACAGTATCTACACATTCCATTTGTTTTAAATAGGTAGGTAAACTCGAGCACTGCCTCCTCCACGACAATAGATTGAACTAAGTATAAAATCTGTCCCATAATTTAGTATGATCCAACGATTATGAACCCACTACCCACAGCGAAGATTCGTCGATACCTACCCACGCACGATTATGCGTATCACTATTTACATAATATTACAAGTTGTATGTAGATAAAGTTCAATGGTTGATTTTGTTGGCTTCACTTGAAGAGATCACTTTCTTTGTTATTGCGACATGGGTAGGACTAAAAGTAATTTGACGTAATCGTACAGGTACCACAAGTTTTACTCATTAGTTTGTATTGGCGGATACCAATGAATTCAGCACTTTTTTTGTGAGATGCAAACTTTTTACGATAATTTATTAAGTAATATCTTACTGATAGATGGGTAACGCAAGTTTATCAAGAGATTTTCCGTTATTTACCCAGACATAGAACAAACAATAACTAAAGCAAGCAAAAACAAAGTCTAGCTAGAAAATGGAACCGGCGCGGCGTCTCGCAGTCTCAGGGGAAAAGCAAGCACATAACTCCAGCTAGTCTAGCACATTACTTCAGCGAGCCTACCATGTCCATGACTCAAGTAGGGCTTAGAAACTGCAATCATAAATACATTCCAATCAAGAAACGGCCAGGTGTCAATAGGATCGGAAGCCGGGCCCAGTAAGGCAGAACGACACAATATCTGCCGCTCCAACCCACTTTCCAACTGCTTTCGATTGCTTGAGCCTGTTGGATCAGTCTCCTAAGCCGATTGTCTAGGCATTGAATAAATAATACCTAATGTCTCCTCTATGATCTAGTTGAGGCTTACTATGATGGCTAATCTAGAATTATTCTTAGTAGCCTAAGTATTTGTGTTGCCAGACTTCCTGTGCCTTATACTAAAGAATTTCCCACATCGTTTGAAAAGTAAAGTAAATCTTTGAAAATTTGCAAAATAAGTAGTCATTGGTAGAGCATTGCGCCCTGAACCTTACAAAATTTTCATTTGAAACACACCTTCGTATACAACAATCTAACATTATATAGTTTCTAACTGACTTCAGGATATAATATTAGAATATTAATAAAATGAATGGCTCTCTTGTTGCCTCTAATTAAATTCACGTGTATCTACTTATTTGCTGTTGTTACACTGAGGTCGATGACATAATTTTTTGCCAAGCTCTTCTAATGGTTTAAAGAACATGGCAGTACCGTATGACGAAGTAGTTTAGCTGAGTTGATTGATAGTTTGCACGAATATCACCGGCTAATTTTGAAGAAGAAGGTTTTTTGTCACATTGTAAAGGCCTCACGTGAATGATAGTCAGTGTAAGAAACTCAAAACAAATAAAATAACTTTTTGGTGTTCGTTCACGGATAACCTGTGTAAAAATTTCGTTGCACGATATATTAACACTTCCTGCACTTTGAAAGGTACAAAATTATAGACGTAGCACGTAACTGTAATAAAAAATACTAAAAATTATTAGACGTGATTTTCTATGTGTATATGTGAATTCCTATTACCAACTGTGCTAATTTTCAATATTGTCAATAGATATAAAAAATGCAGTAGCTACATTCAAGAGCATACTAATTTGTTGTTTTTATTTCCAGGTAAATGTCGTTGTCAGGCTAAAGGATGAAGGTATTTAAAGATAAACTTCTGCTTAAAGATGAATAGGTACATAATTTCGATTATGGAAATAATGAATTAAGATAAACGCCCTAATACATCAAAGTACTACGTTGTGTTTACATTTTCTCCTCTCGGGAAATCCTGCGTAAAGCTTTATTAAACCTACAACATTAATATCCAAAGTAGCAATCAAAGCGTAATAATTAACAAAGTTGTTATTAATTAAGACTTTCATATAAACACTGTTGTCGATGGAAGACCTTGTAATTATGCCAGTAAGCTTTAACTTAACACTTTAACTACTTAAAATAATAAGTAAGTTGCTTTGTGAGATGTATTTTGGATAGTAAGTAGTACTTGTAGTAGGTCCTTTTTAGACTACTAAGAGGCGTCAGTGTACTATGTATGAGAGATTTTATTTTAAACCAAACTAGGTAGATACTTTTACTGGAATAGGGTTCAGTGGGTCGTATATCAAATCTACTGCTGAACAGGAAGGAACCTATATTAAGAATAACGTGATAACATACTAGATACTTGCCAAAGCTTGTACACACATTTTTATCACACGTTTTACGCTTATTTTACCTGCTACGCGTATTTTAGCTGCTACGCCGTAGCCAATTCGTAGCAATACGCCTTAAAAGCGTTAAACAAGATACCATCATAGTTTCTCCCCTCGTCACACACCTGTGCCAGCCCATTGATCAATCATGGGCGCAGTCGTGAAAATTGAAGTGAAGTCGCCACGAGTTACATTACACCCTCTTTGCCACTGTCCCAGTACGTCACACACCTGCACCAGCCCATTGATCAATCATGGCACAGTCGTGAAAATTGAAGAGAAGTCGCCACGAGTTACATTACACCCTCTTTGCCACTGTCCCAGTACGTCACACACCTGTGCCAGCCCATTGATCAATCATGGCACAGTTGTGAAAATTGGAAGTGAAGTCGCCACGAGTTACATTACACCCTCTTGGCCACTAATCCAGTGCGTCACACACCTGCGCCAGCCCATTGATCAATCATGGCGCAGCAGTCGTGAAAATTGAAGTGAAGTCGCCAAGAGTTACATTACACCCACTTTACCACTGTCCCGGTACGTCACACACCTGTGCCAGCCCATTGATCTATCATGGCGCAGTCGTGAAAATTGATGTGAAGTCGCCACGAGTTACATTACACCCTCTTTGCCACTGTCCCGGTACGTCACACACCTGCGCCAGCCCTTGATCAATCATGGCGCAGTCGTGAAAAATGAAGTGAATTTACCAGTAACATCTGGTTTGCCACTGTCCCGGTACGTCACACACCTGCGCCAGCCCATTGATCAATCACTCAACCATTAGTTACATCCGGTTTGCTACTGTCCCGGTTCAGCCACATAAAAGCGCCGCCATAGAATATTTTTTTTGTTCCGATTTGTTATTAATCTGTGTAGGTAGTAGGTAACTAAACATTCAAAGTACTTACAAGCAAACATTTGAACGTATTAAGCAAATATCAAGATCCAGCTGTGTATCACTGTGATATTATTCTATGCTAACTGTTGAATACCAAATTATTAAAACACATCTCGTGTTAGGTATACAATTTTGGAAAACTTGCAAAATTTTGTATGCTAACTGTTCTTTTATCATGCGGTGATGTGTCATTGATGCACGAC